CTGTCATTTTCTCCGATTATGCGATTACGATTTTTATGCTGTTTGTATTTGATTTTATGCCAGTTTGTATCATTTTACTTGATCGTAATCCCCCGAACCCCCCCGGCGGGCCGGTCCGTGAAAATATTGTCTGACATATAGCGGTCCGTGGTGCAAAAAAGGTTGGGGACCGCTGTACTACACGACACAGGAAGTGCGATAAGGCTGAAACTCGGCCTGATCCAAAAGAAAAGAATTGGCCCGTGAAGGGCAAAAAAAAATAAAAAATCATACAGTATATGCCCAGCTTAAACTGAAGTTTTAAAGCTTGATTTTACAATCAGTTTCCCCAAAGGAAACAACTGAAGCACCTGGCTTGTTAATGCGCATCCCAATAGAAAAAAGAAACTATAGAATACCATTTTACAGAGGTGAATTTAAAATATACCTTAACAGACGCAAATAAATATTCAAGACATCAAAAGCAACCGTTTTTAGACCACCTTAAGTTTAAGGTATAACTTTGTCATACTAATAAGTTTAATTCTACGGTCTCGTAATTCTCCAGCTGACAGATTGTGGTTCAAATTCATACTTCATAGGCCAATCAATGTCTGACATTATTGTCCCATTGTTCTTAAAGTTTCTATTTTACACACAGAGACAAAATAATCATAGCTGTTCTGCCTTTTCTGTACAGCCATTTATTAATAATACAGAGAAAATAAAAGAAAATCCATTTTTAAAAGACGGAGGCTCAGTCCACCTAAAAAGACAGCGGATCTTATCCATCTTTAACATGACATTGCTGTGAGTAGGTCGGATAAACGGCGGCATCGTTGGATTTCAGCACAGCTTTAACTGGCTTTCAAAGTAAGCCCCGTGCATGCTGAGAGCATCATTAGATCCACCGCTCTGCATCCGCTGATGCACTCATCACTCAGTCAAAGCAAATCTAGACTGATTGGACCAAATGCCCTTTACACTTCAATCACCATTCTTCAACGCAAACATTGAAGCATATTCTAAATGTGCATTTACTAATGCTCCTCTGGGAATACTATTCATAAAACCTACAGGAACATAAACCATTGACAGTTTCACCAGATTTTTCATTAGGAAATTTTACATCATATCACCATAGCTTATCCTTTCAAATTTTACAATGCAACAAAATAATCATGGATGTATTTATTCATCTTTAGTTAATTTAACATTGAGTTATTATTATTTTTTATTTTTTTTGCTTTTATGAAATTCAACAAGCAAGGCAATCTGAAAGGGTAAAATAAATTTGAAAGTAAATTAAATATATTGGAGAACCCATTTTCATACTGATAGCAAAAACTGATTTTATTTCAGACTGATGAAAATGTTTCGAAAGAAAATATTTTGTCATAGAATAAATCAAAGAGCTTTTCTTAGTGTATTAATGTGTATTTTCCATCCATAACATTCATAAAACAAACAGGATGCCAACCATTCAGTTCAGGTGCAGACAGCTTTGTCAAGCTTCATTTTTGAGAGAAAGTATTTTCAAAAAACAATATTTGAGAGTAAAATTAGCTTTTGAGAAAGCTTTTCTTCCCTTGAAAATCATTTTACATATTTCAATTATCTTTCATCATAAGTTATTTATGACCAAATATACAGCTGATTTTAATTAAAAGCTGATTAACACACTTTTGGTCTACTGCAATCATTATAATCAGCTGTGCTAAAGCAGGGAAACCTCTAAAACCTGCAGGACAGCGGGCCTCAAGGACCGAGGATGGGTATGCCTGCACTAAACTAAACATGGTGTTAAGTTTAGTTTATACCTAAAGAAATCCGGGATATCAGAAGCCGAACTACGGCATTTTCCAACACGTCAAAAAGAAAACTGAGTAGGGAATCACTGCTAGTCATCCACAGTTGAAGGGTTGAAAATTGTAGATTCCCAGAAAAGCTAAAGATTGCTGTA